CTGCCGCATTCGCATGCCTATAAATGGAAGTCTGTGGAGCGAAAAATGCAGTGTGATTGCAGCTTTATAATATTAGTTTTATGTACTTTTACTAGTTTAACAAACTATTAACACTATATAAAATTAATTTGACAAATATCTGTATACTGGAATGGAGGTTAAGTGTTTTTATTTTTTTTATTTTCTTGGCCAAAAACATGCTCTCACATTATTAGTGCTGTGTAAGCAACATCTATTTTACATAGATATAAAATTACGTTTCAACTAAAGAGATTGTTGCATGTTTTATGATATGCTGTAATAAATGTAAACGTGCATTGTTTTTCTTATGATTTACCATGTACACGTAGACATAACATGAAACATTAGGTCATAAAAATTGACTTGAAAGTCCTGGAAAAGTCGTGGTATTTTTGGAGCAAAAATGTGTATGAACCCACACAGCGGATGCCCCATCCAGCTGCAACCCAGAACTGGGAAACACCCATACACTCTCACATTTACACACTAATGGCCAATTTAGTTCATCCAATTCACCCATAGCGCATGTCTTTGGACTGTTGGGAAAACCGGTGCATCCGGAAATCCACATGAACATGGGCAGAACATGCAAACTCCACACAGAAATACCAACTGACCCAGCCAGGACTCGAACCAGTGACCTTCTTGCTGTGAGGCGACAGTGCACCCTGCTGAAAAATCCAGCTTAAATCAGCCTAGGCTGGTTGGCTGGTTTTAGCTGGTCAACCAGGCTGGTTTTAGAGGGGTTTTGGCCATTTCCAGCCTGGTCTTAGCTGGTCAGGCTGGGAGATGACCAGCTAAAACCAGCTTGACCAGCCTAGCCAGACTGGGAGTCCAGCGAAAACCAGCTATGTCTAACTTAAACCAGGCTGGTCAAGCTGGTTTTAGCTGGATTTAGCTGGTCATTTTCCAGCCTGCAGCTAAGACCAGGCTGGAAATGGCTGGAAACCAGCCTGGATGTGACCAAAACCCCTCTAAAACCAGCCTGGTCGACCAGCTAAAACCAGCCAACCAGCCTAGGCTGGTTTAAGCTGGATTTTTTAGCAGGGATGCTAACCACTGAGCCAATGTGCCACCATGGAATATACAAAAAAAAAAAAAAAAAAAACTATTTAGCTTGATTTACTCCCAGAGAATTATACTGTTTCAACCTCACATACTATAATGCACGGAAGCATGTTGCATTCCTAAGATCTGCAGTCATGGCTTGTAGAAAAGGTGTCGTGTGATCAGCTGAGACACATGAATGGATCACTCACATTTCACAGGTTCCATAGAAACCCCAATTCATGTATAGACAGTACAGGAAAGTGTGTAGGATCAGAGTTATCCTAATTCTTCTGCTTTTATGAAGATTAAAAATAAAATCTTTAATGAAAGTACAAGTGAAGCTTCTGTCTAGCAGACCTGCATCCTAAACTTTACTGGTCGTAATGTAGTGAAACATAAATCATTAGCTCGTAAGCAGTGTTGTGGTGGGTAATAGTGAGAGATTTACAGCATTCGCCAAAAATGTGGCCCACAGTGGCATGAATTGGAAGCAAATTAAAGCTGTCTTTAATTATGGTGGAGTGATGCCCCTCAAAGAAACAAAGCCAGCCACAACTGTAGCTTTTCCTCACACTGGCGAACGACTGAAGCGTTTGAGACGGACTGGTTTGTTTTTATGTAAAGCGGACAACAGCCCCCTCGTGTGGAAACTGTGAAGATTGCAGACGACAAAGAAGCAGATATTAAAGAAAGTAGACGAGGGCAATAACATTTTAGTTTTGAAAATTAAAAGTGCAAAAGTACTCATCCACTTCAGCAAGATAAAATAGGCTATTTTACATATGTAAATGTGTCTTTTTCTAATTGTTTTTCTTTTAAAATTAAGATGTAAACATCATCTGAAAGTTGATCAAATACAATATTTGGTTGAGATACTACATATCTGAAATCCAGTTGGCATTTCTGTGTGGAGTTTGCATGTTCTCCCTGCATTCACGTGGGTTTCCTCCGGGTTTTTCCCACAGTCCAAAGACATGCGGTACCGGTGAATTGGGTAGGCTAAATTGTCCGTAGTGTATGAGTGTGAATGTGAGTGTATGGATGTTTCCCAGAGATGGGTTGCAGCTGGAAGGGCATCTGCTGCGTAAAACGTAAGCTGGATAAGATGGCAGTTCATTCCGCTGCGGCGACCCCGGATTGATAAGGGAACTAAGCTGAAAAGTAAATGAATGAATGAATGAATAAATAAATTTTTATATATATATATATATATATATATATATATATATATATATATATATATATATATATATATATATATATATATATATATATTTATACATACACAGTGATTGCTATGATACAACATATTTGAAAATCTATAAATTAAAATATTGGCATACCGGTTGACGTCACAGTTCTCGATGTTAGGAAACTTTTAAGGGGTTTTTGAACCGCACTTAGTCTGATCTGTCACCTAAGACATTTTTGTTTTGGAAGACCCTACCAGGGGCATTAAACCCTGACAACATAGCTCTTAGGATCACTCAGGCACACAAACCCCTCCACCACATTAAGGATAGAGGAGGCCTCAGGGAAGACCCAGGAGGGATTATGTCTCTCAGCTGGCCTGGGAACGCCTCGTGATCCCCCCAGAGGAGCTGGAGGAAGTTTCTGGGGTTCTCTCCTAAGACTGCTGCCCCCGCAACCCAGCACCGGACAAGCGGTTAAAAATCAATGAATGGATGATAAAGTTGCTTTTAAAGTCATCTAATCTAAGTGGTGGCTGCTGACTGTAAAGTTTTCAGACTTCATGTCGACTTCAAAAATATGAAATATTTTACCTTTGTGAACCTGGATTACAAAATCATTCATTCAGTTTTATATGTAACATCAATATGACTCCCGTAGAAATCTGGTTATTGTTGTGTAAAGTGATGTACAGAAGTGCACTCTTAAGTGAATTAAGCAGTCATATATGAGACTAAGTGAACATAAATGGGCTTTTCAATAATATTTGCTGCAGTTACAAATATTGAATGAATAACAAGCTTTGCTTGACCTACACCATGAGTGTGCATTCATCACCGGTCTTTTTAACAGGGGCTGTGACATTTTTAAAGCACTTTTTAAGGACTAGAATAATAAAAGTGTGTTTTGCTATTGACCTAATACATGCTAACTATTTGAACAAATCAATATGTTTTTTATGTGTAATCTTTAAAGGGGACCTATTATGCAAATATCATTTTTGTAACGGGTTTAAAAAGTTGTGTGGCAACAGTCTGTGAATATAACCAGCTTCTAATGGTAAAAAATGTATTAATTACATTTGTGTCATCACACTTGATAAAAACAGTCTGCAAAACACTTTGACATTCTCCTTTTGTACGTCATCATCAGAGAGGAAAAACCTTGCCCAGTAGTGACCATCTCTCCTATTAGCATTGGATGTTAGTCTTGTTTTTAAATCTGCCTCTAAGCTGACACACAGGCATTTGTAGTTCCACCCTCTTTTGAAAAGAGCACAGTCTCATTTGAATTTAAAGCGACAGTCACCAAAATGACACAATTAGGATCAAAGCCTAAAAGGGAAAGTGGTAAAACATTGTGGGCTCTATTTTGACGGTCCATGCGCAGAGCGCAAAACGCAGGGCGCAAACGCTTTCAGGACATGTCAGGACGCGTTTTTGCTAATTTAAGGACGGGAAAATCCGCTTTGCGCCAAGGCGCATGGTCTAAAAGGGTTGAGTTTATTTTCTTAATGAGTTATAGATGTGTTTTGAGAATAAACCAATCAGAGTCTCATCTCCCATTCCCTTTAAGTGCCAGCTGCGTCGCGCCTAGAGCGCATTTGCTATTTACAGGACGTAAAGTAAGTCTAAGTGGAAAAACTGAGCATTTCACAAGCAAACAGTTCACAGTTTTTTTTAACAGAAAACTGTTAAACAGAGCATCTACTGCTTGAGAATGAGAGATAATGGATCTACTTTCACTTTCGCTCTTGGATAGGGAAACTTTTACGCACAGACATCAATTAGCCTATAAATAATTAATTTAGTTTGTTAAGAGCAAAGATTTGTTTCAAAACTGTTTCTAAATTCAGTTCTAATTTCCAGCAAACGAATAAATGAACAATAATAACGAAGTGTGTTCAAAAACCTGAGTTATATCCAAATACACCTGCCATGCCCCATCTGGTCTAAAACCTGACAGGTGGACAAATCTAAGCTTGTTTTTAATCAAACAAATATAAATATGGATATAATAAATAATACTGCTAATAATAATAACATTATACAAAAGCAAATTGTTATGAATGAACTGAAAAAGCCTCCCGAGATGAAGAAGACATAAAAGCAGTGATTTTTCATATTTATGTAGGCTAGAAAATAATGTTTTGTAATATTTTAATCCTTTATATTTATATCCTATATCTATTCTTATTATATCCTATATATATTCTTAATATTTAAATTTTTTCATATGTAAAGATATTTGCCTATTGCTCTCTTGTGCGTATTAAGCAGTGCGTAAGCGAGGCGCAACTCTGCACTGGAGTTTAGACCGGGTTAGTTTTGGTCTAATGAAAAATCTATTATAGTTTCTCAAAATAGCAACGCGCCAGCGGTCCGCCTCAGAACGCCTTCCTTTTTAGACCAGAACACCTATGGGTGCACATATGAGCGCTAATGCATTTGCTATTTAAACAGCGTAGCGTGGCATAAAAGGTCCCCTTTAATCAAAATACTTTACTTCTGTCTTTTGTGGCATCTCTTCTCTATTCCGATTGGTTTGTGTTTACTCATGTGAGGGTGGGATCAATCTGTCAGTCACATAAGCCCCACAAGCAACAAGACGCAATCATCCAATTAATTCCCTATTGACAAAACAAATACCCGTGCTGTATTTATTCTGGTCCAAAGTCAATTTCATGCACAAAGGGGACGAAGATAAAACGATTTTAATGAGGATTTGCTTTATTGTAGGTACTACCTGAAGGAGTCAAAAGGAAGCAAAAGATGGTTAATATTTCTTGAGGGTAAGTGTGATGCTTTATGACTACTTTTTAAATATATACACAGTAATTTGAAAAAGTTAGCACACCCTATTAAATTCCAATTTTTCATATCAGGACTTTAAGAATTATCTGATCTTTGGCACGGCTTAAAATGTGGAAATTAAAACCTCATGATGAACAATATTTAGCATCAACAGAAATAAGTCAGGTAGTGCTAATCAAATACCTGAACTGACAAACGGTTTTACCTGAGGCTGCACTCCAGTTCATCTTTCCATGCTCTTCACTCGCTGCCTTCCCTCATTCTCCTTACCTCAGATGTACTTCATCGATTACATCACACAACTGGTGGATCATCTGAACGGGTTTATAATTATATAAACCCTTGAGCACTTAGGAACTACACTGTTGTGACGTCACAATCAAATTGCAGTCTGGGACATACAGGTGCTAGAGTGCACATTCTAGTAAACCTCCAGCACGGGGGTTTCAAGAGTTCACACCTAGCTAATGATTGATTATAAAGCGAGTTTGGCATGTTGTCCCTGGAGAGAGCCCTGAGCTCATAAGATCCTCGAGCCCGGGGCTCCCTCCTGTTTGCAAGGCGAGAGGGGAGTTTGAGCTCAGGTAGATCTCGAGAACTCCCCTGCTGTATGAGTAGCTAATGAACAGATAGTGATTGCTCTTTGGAGATAACTACTTACTAGGGCGCGTCTATGGGGCCGATTTGGATTAGTCAGTTAACTTAAGTTGCATGTTTTTGGATGTTGGGTGGAAACCGGGGAACCCGGGAGAAACCCACATGAGCACGGGGAGAACGTGTTAAATCTGCACAGAAATGTTGCCTGGCTTAGTAAGGACTAGAACCAGTGACGTTCTTGCTGTGAGGCAACAGTGCTAACAACTAGGCCACTGTGCCACCCATCTAAAAAAGGAGGAGGAGTTGGGGTGGAAGGGGGGATTCTTCAAAGCGAACGAAGATGGCTGTTATGTGGAACTTAGGGTATTTATAGTGGCTTAAGAATCGTCGTGATTGGTGAATCATAAATTGGATAATGCGGGACCAGCCGAAAAGCGATCATAGGCACGTGATCCTTTTCGAAATTAGTTTATAAATAAAACTTCACTTAGATGGAGAAGAGTTTACTATACAGGAGTCATGGTACACTGATAACCTACGCAAAATAACGGTTTAAATTTTAATTTGGTTTACTCAGTCTAAACTGAAATTGAGATAATCGTTCTGCGATAATGAGAGCTGTATGAGCTTCTCTTCCCCCCTTACAGCTATGGCTGTAGTAAAAGCTGCATGTGAACCAACCGTTCACGTTCAGCAATCGCTATTTTCCCTAGGGGGGTTTCCAGTTGTAGCTAGAAGGGATACAGCTGTGGCCAGAAGTTTAACATAAAAAATAATTATACTATTTATTTAATTACCCATTCATTCATTCATTCATTTTCTTGTCTCCTTAGTCCCTTTATTAATCCAGGGTCACAACAGCAGAATAAACCACCAACTTATCCAGCAAGTTTTTACGCAGCTAATGCCCTTCCAGCCACAACCCATCTCTAGGAAACATCCACACACAAACTACAGACAATTTAGCCTACCCAATTCACCTGTACCACATGTCTTTGGACTGTGGGGGAAACCAGAGCACCCGGAGGAAACTCAGAAGAAGGCAGGGAGAACATGCAAACTCCACACAGAAGCACCAACTGAGCCGAGGTTCAAACCAGCAACCCAGCGACATTCTAGCTATGAGGAGACAGCACTACCTACTGCGCCACTGCCTAGCCTTAATTACCCATTCATTGTATTTTGTTAATGTATTCTTGGCCCGCGCTGTGGCACAGTGTGTAGCGCTGTTCTCCCTGTGTTGGCGTGGGTTTCTTCCGGGTTGCCCCCACAAGTCCAAAGACATGCGGTATAGGTGAAATTGGGTAAGCTAAATTGTCCGTAGTGTATGTGTGTGAATGAGAGTGTATGGGTGATTCCCAGTGATGGGTTGTAGCTGGAAGGGCATCCACTGCCTGAAACATATGCTGGATAAGTTGGCAGTTCATTCCACTCAGGCAACCCCTGATTAATAAAGGGACTATTTATTTCAACCCAAGCTCATTCTGGAAACGTAGTTTCTGGAGACCGCGATTTACGTGGCCGGAGGTACGTAAAGGCCGCATTCAGTTTTTTTCGAGCGAATGCTGCGGGGCGGTGTGGCGCCGCTCCGCCCCTCCTCTTCGCGCTCGCCGGCCGACGGCTCGCCTCCGAGTGGAGGGCTTTCCCTATGCAACCAGTTTGTCCGCCTAGCTCACAGCGTTGCGTCGGCGGAGCGGAGGCCCCAGAGGAGGAGCAGGCCGCAGTGGACGATGACCGGGATCGAGTCCGGGGAACGGCGGTTCCGGAAATTAGGTAAGATGAAAAACGAAATCTGAAAAATAAGGGCGAGAACGCGGCGAACCGTCGCTCGGGTTTAGGGAAGGAGGAGGAGGAGGAGGAAGAAGAGGGTGGCCGATCCGGCAGCTTTTCGCGCGAGACCGGCGCGGGGGCGAACGGCGCGCGCTCCCGAGAGGCGCCCGAGACGTGAAAAAGCGCGCACAGTGGCCTCCCGGGACGTAAATCGCGGTCCGCAGAAACGTCCGCGGGGCTACGTTTCCACAATGAGCCCGGGTTGATTTATTTAGTGCCATCAGGTTATTATTATTATTATTATTATTATTGTTATTATTATCATTATTATATTATTTTAATTTCTATTATTATTACCAGGTTATATGGTTATTATTCATGTTATTTATTAAATTACACATTAAATTGTATTTTATTAACCCTCTACCTTAAACCTAAACCCATTCAAAGTGTAAATATTGTTGTGCTACTTGCAGCTGTATTCCTTCTTGACTTTCTTTACTCAGAGTTCCCTGTGTTTTTTTTTTTTGTTTTTTTTTTTATGTATTTGGACAGGTTAGTGAGTTTCCTCAAGAGTGCCCTCTTGCCTCCAGGGGAAATTTTCTACAAATCTAGAAAATGCTAGAGTGTCCTAACTTTTTTATATGACTGTGTGTGTATATATATATATATATTCTGTAACTGCCATGTATATGTGTAAGACATGTCTCTCTGTGCAGGCGGCTGGTACTGCTTCAACAAAGAGAACTGCGACAGCAGATACGAGACTATGAGGAGACTCATGAGCTCCTCCAAATGGCCACAAACCAAGACAGGTCAGAAATGCCAACCGTGTCCGTCTAACACAGTCACCACTGAGTCTTAAATCACACAATAGAAGCCAACATAATCTAAAGTTTAAAAATGAATATGCAAAATTGCAAAGACTCCATCATGTCATTCCTTTGTGATAATTGGATGTGTTCTGATTTCACTTTCAGGCACAGGAATGCTGTCTTCACTCCCAGAGGAAAACCCACACTGGTGGAACGCCAACATGGTGTGAGTATCCCAGAGCTAATGTTTGTGAAAATACATTCTTTACATCTTTTTATTCATTGATTTTCATAACTCCTATGTTAGTGCAGATTTGAACCTGAAGTCTTTCTGTTTTTCCCTTTTCAGCTTCATCCCATATTGTTCAAGCGACGTGTGGAGTGGAGCCTCACCAAAAACAGATCAAAGTAAGACTCCGTTACATCCCCTGCTCTTGTGCACAAATTATAGAAAGAAATAATAATTTCTTCACTTTGTTCAAAAATGTTAATTCGGTTTTTAATTTCCAATCGACGTGTTGTTCCAAAGCCCTAAGACCTTCATTCATCCTCAGACACAAATTGAGATATTTTAGATAATATTGGAGAGCTCCCTCGTCCTTCATAGACAGCCACAGTCCAAAGTCATTCAAACTCTCTAATATAAACTTTGCATTGAAACCTTTCTAAATATGAATGTATGCTAAATTGCTGAATCCCAGTGTACCTGAGAATGTGTATACATGGAAGAGTCTTAAATGGTGCCTCGTACACTCTTTTACAAAAAAAAAAAAACACTATAAGAGAATATTGTAATTTTAATGTTTGGGTGAATTATTAAAACAAAAATAAAAAACTATAAAAAGACTAAAACAATAACATAATTGTTATTTTTTGGGTGAATCAACAGAAAAAAGAAAAAAACACTAAAAGAAAAACTTATTTAAATTTTTGGGTAAATTAATACAAAATAAACTATAAAAAGACTCTAAAAGAATAACACAGAAATAAAATATTTGGTGAATTAATAAAAAAAAACTAAAAACTCTATTAAAGAATCACATAATAAACATTTAAGGTGTATTGATGCAAAATAAACTATAAAAAGAATATAAAAGAAAATTATATTTTCATTTTTGGATGCATTAAATTAAAAACACATAATTAAATATATTAGATAATTTAACGTGGAAAAAATAACAAAAATTTTAAACATAAATTTCATTTTTTGGGCGAATTAACAGCAGCAAAAAAAACAAAAAACAAAAATAAAACACTACAGTTTTGGGCTTTGATTAATATAAAAAAGAAAGCTTTTTTGCTCACCAAGACATTTTTGCTCACTACATTTAAACAATATATATTACGTATAACATATTACCATAACATATATATTTAATGAATTTAAAATGTAATGCATTCTTGTGATTTTAAAGCTGAATTCAAAGCTGGATTTTCAGCATAACTGTTCAAGTCTTGTGTCACCTTGTGTGATCCTTTAGAAATCAGTAAAATATGATATGATCCCCAGTAACATGAGTTCAATGATCACAGTCACTTTTGATAAATTTTCATTCTGAATAAAAAATAAATGACTGCAAACATTTGCTATTATAAAAAAATATCTAAAAAAAAAAAAATAAATAAAAATCAGATTTGACTATTAGCCGTAAACTTATCTGTGGTTTTATTGTGTACAGATGACTACGCTTTCATGGGTTCACTGATCATAAAGGAGGTCGTGAAGGATCTGCTCTCCAAAGGTCTGGATAATGCCAAGATCCTGCTGTTAGCTGGAAGCAGGTGAGTCTGCATCGCACACTTTGCTTTCGCCTCTGGTATTGAGATGCAATTCATCAATCTGATCAAAAGTGGACAACGCTAAATAGAGATGTGAAATGTTTTGAGCTTGTGTGTGCATTCTGCTAAACACAACAACAATGGTGGCTGAGAAAGAATAACAGTTTTAAGAGTTCACACTTAGCTGATGATTGATATTAAAGCTTGTTTGGCATGCTGTCCTGGGAGAGAGCCATGAGCTCATAAGATCCTCGAGCCCGGGGCTCCCTCCCGTTTGCAAGGCAAGAAGGGAGTTTGAGCTCAGGTAAATCTCAAGAACTCCGCTGCTGTAGTAGCCAATGAACAGATAGTGATTGCTCTTACGAGATATCCATTTACTAGGAGCGTCTATGGTGCCGATTTGGACACCCATCTAAAAAAGGAGGAGGAGTGGGGGTGGAAGGGGGGATTCTTCAAAATGAAGATAGCTGTTATGTGGAACTTAGGGTATTTATAGTCGCTTAGGAATCGTCTAATTGGATGAATCATAATCTGAATAATGTGGGACTGGCCGCAAGCCATCTTAAGCATGTGATCCTCTCGAAATTAGTTCATAAATAAACTTCAATTCATAAACATCTAGCAAACAGCCTTTACCACTGTAGCACGCCACATTGCTTTTATATTTGCCATGGACCAAATGGAACAATGTTTAGATCTTTATTAGAGGTTGCACAACGTGATTGTTCTTCTTGTCTGGGTGAAGATTTTCCAAGACTGTGTGTACAGTGTAGTCATGTGGACACTAAAACTGGAGTTTTCACCTCATGACATTAGCGTGCGTGCGGTTTTCTCCTTTCTGATTGGCCACCATGGCTGGGTTCACACTAAATAAAGAACACAAATGGGGCAAATTCTGAATGTTTGAGGCATACACATCACATATTAGGTGTCATTCGTCCACGGGACGGAAATCCGCCTCTTTTCTCACTTTTGCATTGATTTGTATGTAATGTACTCATGCAAATACCCAAGATACGCATTTGGTGTGATCCCAGCATAGTGTCATCATCGCCCTTAACATGCGTGCGTCTTACGTTTTCATTTGCACAGACGAAAAAACGAAAGCAGGGAAAACCCCGTTTATAAAAATACCCATATACAGGTAAAGTCATAATTATTAGCCCCCCTTTGATTTTTTATTGTTTTTAATATTTCCTAAATTCTGTTTAACAGAATAAGGTATTGTTTACAGTATGTCTGATAATATTTTTTCTTCTGGAGAAAGTCCTATTTGTTTTATTTTGGCTAGAATAAAAGCAGTTTTTAATTTTTTAAAAGCCATTTTAAGGTCAAAATTATTCAATGATCTACAGAACAAACCATTGTTATACAATAACTTGCCTAATTGCCCTAACCTGCATAGTTAACCTAATTATCCTAGTTATGCATTTATCTGTCACTTTAAGCTGTATATAAGTGTCTTGAAAAATATCTTGTAATGTGTTGAAAAAATCTTCTTTCCGTTAAACAGAAATTGGGGACAAAATAAGCAGCAGGGCTAATAATTCTGACTTCAACTGTATGTGACCAATGTCTCTTTTGTCCACTTGCGATTGGATTGACGAAAACACATCTTAATACTAGATGTAAACAGGGCCTTTTTGATAATGTTGACTAATGTAAGTATGTGCTCCTCAGTGCGGGCGGCACCGGGGTCTTGCTGAATGTGGACTCGGTGTCAGAGCTTTTGGAAGAACTGGGCCACACCAACATCCAGGTCAGGGGTCTGTCCGACTCAGGCTGGTTTCTGGACAACAAGCAGTACAGATGCACTGACTGTGTGGACACCATCAACTGCGCCCCTACTGAGGTCATCAAGAGAGGAATCAAGTAAGCTGTTTCTTATCAGCTTATCAGATTTGCAGCAATGTTTTTTCAGCTTGTCATCCTCTGAGAAAATAGTTGATGATAGCCTAGTAGTCCATGTACACTGCACCTCCCGGGTTCCCCAAGCATTGACCGGTCTACATTGATATTGTCACGGTTAGAGGAAGGAGGACCCAAATGCAGTATGAGAACAGGAGGTGTTTATTGACAATAAAGGTGATATGTAGTAGGGGTAAGGTGAAACGGTCCGACGGTGAAGAATAGGGTAGAGCAGGGGAGTCTTGGGTGGAGCAGGCAGACAAAGGAAGACAGTGCTTGACAGTCCTGGATGGAGTATTAAGCAGCCACGGAACAGGAGACTGAGCAGGGATGCTCAAGCCAGACAAAAAGTGGTAAAGGCCTTTGAGGCACTGCTGACCAGCGATCCTGAGTAGGTCTCACCAACGGCAGCCTGACAGGACACCAGCAACCGGGGACTCTCAGCAGACAGGGCTGGATGAATGCAAACACACACGCACGCACACAGACAGACTGGGAACACTAAACTAAGAAACAAAACCATAAATTTAATACAACAAAAACACAAGAACTATTGACAAACTAAAAAGAGAAATAAAATTAGTTTTAACTTACTGATAATAAACTGGAAGAATCAAAACCAATTAAAAAAAGGAACTAAACACTTATAGCTACTAAATAAGATGGGGATAATACTGAAAGCCAACTGAAAAACACAAACAAACATTAGACAAAGACAACTCTCACACAAACAACAGCACAGGTAAACGAGCACGGTCAGGCAACAACAGGTAGCAGGTAACAGGTAGTAAGTAACAGGTAGCAAGTAACAGGTAGCAAGTAACAGGTAGCAAGTAACAGGTAGCAAGTAACAGGTAGCAAGTAACAGGTAGCAAGTAACAGGTAGCAAGTAACAGGTAGCAAGTAACTGGTAGCAAGTAACTGGTAGCAAGTAGCAGGTAGCAAGTAGCAGGTAGCAAGTAGCAGGTAACAGGTAGCAGGTAACAGGTAGCAGGTAGGGATGGCTGACGTGAAACTGACGTTTCGACACAGTGTCGAGATCCCGAAGCGCAAGTGTTTCGAAACACTGCACCGAAGCATGATCCGAAGCACCCAAGTCACGTGACTAAAGTGTTTCGAAACACTTGGTCACGTGACTAAAGCGATTCAAAACATTGCTCACCTCAGAAGCGTTTTGAGACCTGGCGAATCTCCATTTGGCTGCCAAGGTCAGGAAAAATTTCATTTTATATGGCCTAGTGGACTGTGCATGTGCACGATGTTGCTATTCATTAATTGACTTCTTGGGTTCGAATCCCGACTTCTACAAATACTCCAAAAACATTTTTGTGGTTTTATGAGTTTTTATCATGTTTCTGTATTTAGCCTAAATATGATACAGCTGCAGTTACGCCATCAATTTAGCATCATTTTTGTAACACTGTAAAACAATAATAATTATTTTACAGTACTGTGATAGTTTGGTTTAGGGTTTGGGTAGACATTAATAAAATACAATAAATGGGAAATTTTATGAATAATATAAATAATTCTTGATAACTTCAGGCCACAGTTTCTGATCTAGCAACAACCCTGTTTTAAGACCAAAACAAGACATATTTATTAACAAATTGTTTATTCGGATATCAGACAAATGTTGAAACAAAACGATTCAAGAGCAAAGCATTACCAACTGGTATTAAAGCATTTCAAAATAGCTGATATTGCCCGGCTTCGAACCCACTATCCCCAATTGCTAATCAGACACTTTAACCGCTCCGCTACATTGAATGAAGTGTACACCAACAAAGTAGGCTTCAATACCTCAATTTGCTCAACTGCTATGTGCTGCAGCTGTTTCAGTGCAATACATAAAAAAATGACCGCTAGGTGTCACTGTAGAGTGGTGTTTCGAAACGTTTCGAAGCTTCGACACATTTGCTTCGACTGTTTCAGTGTTTCATGAAGCCTCACTTTGCCCACCACTAGTAGCAGGTAACAGGTAGCAGGTAGCAAGTAGCAAGTAGCAAGTAGCAGGTAGCAGGTAGCAAATAGCAGGTAGCAAGAAGCAACAATGAACCGACAAAGACATCAGGGGAGGGAAAACATTATAATGGGAGGAAAGAACAAGAGGACCAGGTGTAAACACTGAGACAAACGAGGACTAGCCAATCGAGGGCTAAACAAGGGGGCGTGGCAGTAGGAAACAAGGAGGGAGGAACGGAACAGGCTGAGCCATGTGTTCAGACACAACACAAACATAGATACATAGAAAGACGACAACACAGAAAGGACAGACAAGGTAGGGCTATGACAGATATTAAAGGTTGGGGAACACTGCCCGAGGCGACTGCCTAATCCGACTATGCCTAGAAACAGCACTGTTTGTAACTAACTGAAAAGGGTTAACTGAATCTCCCTTGATCAAACGCACATTTGATTGCAGCGCATTAAAGATTAATAAACATACGCAAGTCATCATCATTTATTATTTTGGTTGTATCAACTGTGATCCGTTACACCCCTATTGAGGACTAAACTGATGGTCTTGTCTGCAGATATTGGGGTGGTGTGGTTCCTGAGCGATGCAGGCAGGCTTATGAAGGAAAAGAGTGGAACTGCTTCTTTGGATATAAAGTTTATCCTACCATCAAGCGTGAGTGCACACCATACCAGACCCCAGCCATGGACAGATGTTCAGTCTATTTTAAAATGCACATATGAGTTTGGTCACCTGTTTGAAAAGTGTGCTGTTTTTTCTTCCTGACAGGGCCTGTGTTTATCGTGCAGTGGCTGTTCGATGAGGCTCAGCTCACGGTGGACAACATCCATCTGACGGGACAGCCTGTGCAGGAGGGACAGTGGCGCTACATTCAGAATTTGGGGACTGAGCTGAGGAACACTCTGAAGGACGTCCCGTAAGTTATGTTTTCTCTCTTATCGGAGTGAGATTGAAGTGATTTTCGGGGTTTCTAATGCTGTGTTTTCTCCTTCAGTGCAATGTTTGCTCCAGCTTGTCTCTCACACGAATTCATCACAAGAAAGTAAGTGAACGCTTGAATTTTTGACTTCTGTAAATTTCTGTCATTTTCTTATTTTCATCAAGTTGTTGTTTTTGTAATGTCAGTTAACTTTACCTGACATTCTGCAGCGATGATGATAAACCATTTATTTATTTGTGTGTATGTGTAAAAACTATATTTAATATAACTGTAATTATAGGGTGGGTAATAATAATAATAATAATTTAAAAGCTAAAGAAAAATATTAGGTCTTTGGAATCACTGTCCTTTACCAATAAAATAAGTTTTTTACTTCACAAAAGACCTAAGATGATAAAAGAAATTGCAGATGATGCTTGTGGTATTTTGTATAGGTTTGTAAATGAATATCAGCCGGACAACTCTGCCTAGCTCCACACTACTTCACTTTATTCTGTTCTCTCCTCTCCCTTACACACACCTCTCCTGACATCTAGTGGTCACAAACAGTAGTAATAGGACTGAACATTAAACAACACAACAATGCTCTAAGCTAGTTCTTAACCATAGGGCGTATTCACACTATATACAGTTACCTTGAACCGGGCCAAAGCACGCTTCCCCCCTTCTCCCCCGACGGCCTGCACTCACATTACATTCAGGCCTGGGCACGCTTACGTCATTGATGATGTGCTGTTCAGTAGGCGGAGCTCAGCACAGTGGAGATTTCTTTAGTTATATTGTTTTAGTCGTTTAATATGCAGTGACATGCAGTCAAAATATTTCGCCGAACAGATCCGCTAATTTTGACACTCAAAAATAATCATCGAGTCCTCGTGCTGGAGGAATTAGGAGGTTTGAAGAGTGAAGAGTTTGCGTTTTTAATAAACTATGACAGTTTGCGTTCGTTGAACAGTAAGAATGATTAATTAATCCATATTAAACAGTCCCTTAAAAGTCACGTCTCGCTTTTATTTTTGGGCTCTGGCGCGATTTGCACTCACACAAACAAGTGTACCGCGCCAAAGCCCAAGTTAACCGCGTTCTGGCACACCTCTTCCAACCGGGCCAGCTCGGCCAACTGAACCGTGTCTGAGCCCAATTCAGAGCACTCACACTTCTCAAACGATCCGGGAAACGGGCCTGGGCACGGTTCGGATAGCATAGTGTGAGTACGCCCATAGATGGCACTCTAAGCTAGATTTCAACAGCAGATGATGTTCTAGGCAAGTTTTAATAGTAGAAGGTGTTCTAGGCTAGTTTTTGAGATAACAGCAGATGATGATCTAGGCTAGTTTTTAACAACAGATGACACTAGGCTAGATTTTAACAGTAGACTGCAATGTGGGTTTTTTAACATTAGACAATGCTCTAGGCTAGTTTTTAACAATAGATGACACTCTATGCTAGTTTTTGACATTCGATTGTGATCTAAGCTAGTTTCTAACTGCAGATTGTGCTTTAGGCTACTTTTTAACAGTAGGTGGCACTCTAGGCTAGTTTTCAACAGCAGATAGTGATCTAGGCTAGTTTTTAACAGCAGATTAAGATCTAGGCTAGTTTTCAACAGCAGATAGTGATCAAGGCTAGTTTTTAACAGAAGATTGTGATCTAGGCTAGTTTTCAACAGCAGATAGTGATCAAGGCTAATTTTTAACAGCAGATTGTGATCTAGGCTAGTTTTCAACAGCAGATAGTGATCTAGGCTAGTTTTTAACAGCAGATTGTGATCTAGGCTAGTTTTTAACAGCAGATAGTGATCTAGGCGAGTTTTCAACAGCAGATAGTGATGTAGGCTAGTTTTCAACAGCAGATTGTGATCTAGGCTAGTTTTCAACAGCAGATTGTGATCTAGGCTAGTTTTCAACAGCAGATAGTGATGTAGGCTAGTTTTTAACAGCAGATTGTGATCTAGGCTAGTTTTCAACAGCAGATAGTGATCTAGGCTAGTTTTCAACAGCAGATAGTGATCAAGGCTAGTTTTTAACAGCAGATTGTGATCTAGGCTAGTTTTCAACAGCAGATAGTGATCAAGGCTAGTTTTTAACAGCAGATAGTGATCTAGGCTAGTTTTCAACAGCAGATAGTGATCTAGGCTAGTTTTTAACAGCAGATTGTGATCTAGGCTAGTTTTCAACAGCAGATAGTGATCAAGGCTAGTTTTTAACAGCAGATAGTGATCTAGGCTAGTTTTCAACAGCAGATAGTGATCAAGGCTAGTTTTTAACAGCAGATAGTGATCTAGGCTAGTTTTCAACAGCAGATAGTGATGTAGGCTAGTTTTTAACCGCAGATTGTGATCTAGGCTAGTTTTCAACAGCAGATAGTGATCAAGGCTAGTTTTTAACAGCAGATTGTGATCTAGGCTAGATTTTAGCAGCAGATGGCACTCTAGAATTTAAAATCATACACTTAAAGAGTCACAAGAAAGAAGGCTTCTGTGTTTGGCTGAGTCTTGCAAGTTGTAAGTAAACACAGTTCACTATGAACGCTCTTGTAATCCACTTAAACGTTTCCTGACTTTATTAACAATCATTTTAAGTTCAAGTGGTATTTGTAAGGAACTGGGTGCAAGCAGAGTAAGGCTGTTTGTAATTATTCCTCAATTGATTGAACTCGAAATTGATTCAAGAGAGAATAGCAATGTATATTGATAATGCAATTTCTGGTACAATTATTGCAAATTCATTGAATCATATTATATTTCCCCTGGTGTTTTCGCACTAAATTGCACACTCACTGAGCAGCTCTGCATTCTTGTGTTTGCTGTAGCTACTGGACCGATGTTCAAGTCAAAGGCACATCTCTACCGCGAGCGCTGCACTGCTGGGACCGCAGTCTACAAGACACCAGCAGAAATAACAAATCGCCCCCCAAAGGCTGTCCCGTGCACTTGATCGACAGCTGCCCGTGGCCTCACTGCAACCCCACATGCCCAACCATCCGGGATCAGTCTACAGGGCAGGAGATGAACGTCATCCAGTTCCTCATGCACATGGGCTTCGATGTCCAGAAGATGGCCCACCAGCAGGGAATGGACCCGAGTAAACTCCTGGGCATGCTCAGCAGTGGCAGCTAAGCACCATAGAGGGACTTGCTCCAATTTGGGGCTTTCCTACAGTCCATTTGATACCTCCGATCCTTAAACCCTCCTCAGCTTTGACCTCAAGCTGAGTCCTGCCTTCAGTCGATGCTCTGTCCAACTCTCTACCGGCATCCATCTCCTCATCCATGATCAGTTTAACAGTCCAGATGGCATCCATTTTGCTCCAACGTGTATATAGGTATTACCCGTGCAGATCATTATCAGTTTGGAGATCGCTGAGATGCCTTGAATAGAGATTTGGAACGGAGCCGATCTCAGATCCACCTCAGTTGAACCATGGGCTGCTGACTGTTCAAACGCAGTACAGGCGAAAGTACTGAACAACACGTAACCGGGACAAGGTACAACTACATCTTTGCTCTTAATTATCTTTTGGTTATAAAAGTATCACGAATGTAATCCAGTTTTACGGATCTTCAGCATTGTTATTGTTGTATTTGTTTGCTTTGTGGTTTTTGATCTAATCTTTTTTTTAAATTCAATATATTAAGCTGCAGATTATTAGATTTTTATGTCTGTTCCGAGAAAGAAATCCAGAGAGAGAGAGTGGATTTAAGAGTTTATGAAGTACATGTAAAAATATATGGATCGACACAGGACTATATTGGATCATATAAACAGGAGGTTCACATCTGAAACGCACTGGATCACTGGCTCTAAAGCCAACATCATTCTTGAGGTGTTGCTAATGCCGGGTTCAGACTACACATGATTTTGGCTAAATACAAAATCCAAGATTCACATCGAGCATTGTTGTGATTCATGAACAACAACAGGCATTGGAATGGAAATATCTCATATAGTTTGTCATATAGGACAATGACCAACATCAAATCATCAAGACATCCGAACAGAGAGACAAACTGTGTTTGAGTTTGCTTTGGTTTCTTTGTGACTTTGATCAATAGGAGCACAGAAGTTCTTTGGAGCATAGAATTCCAACACAGCCAAAGCAAAAGACGGATGAGGATATTGGTGCAGCTAGGTTGAAATATACACAGATTTGTGGAGCTATGATTGTCCTGCCTGTGCTCTTTCAGAAATAAAGGTACAAAAGCTGCCACTGGGGTGGCATCCTTTCAAAAGCCACACATTTTTCTACTTAAAGCAGATGTATTTGTATCTAAGTGAAGTTTCACAAACTAATTTCGAGAGGAGCCCGTGATAGGATTGACTACAGCTGATCCCTATCACTAATCACTAACTAGCCAATCGGATCATTCCAAATTTAATATAAATATCCAGACTAAACTTCATTCCTCATCTTCGTTTTTGGAACCCCCCCCCCATTCTTTCTCCCTCCTCCTCACCTCTAAGTTTGGGACACGGTGCCTCAGTGGCTATCACTGTTGTCCCACAGCAACGTGTTCAAACGCTAGCTGAGCCAATCGACACTCTCTGTGCGGAGTTTGCATGTTCTCCTTATGTTTGCGTGGGTTTTCCCCGGGTACTCCGGTTTCCTCCCACACAAAATACATGCAACAAGAGTTAAAGTCAAAAGCACCTACTACATAAAGTTAGCGGTCTATTCTTGGGAAGTTATCGAGAACTACCTGATCTCGTATCCAGTGGCGTAGCGGACGGGCCCGCAGGGCACGCACCGCGGGGGGGCCCCGCGTGATTAGGGGGCCCCGCGTCGTCGCGATTTTCAATAAACTGTTGGGAACAACTGTGGTCGGAACCAAAGTTCACACGTCTGTGTTCTCTGAACACCTCTCAAGTGGTGGACTACTTCATTCTGATTGCTTGCCGCCAATGTTGCCAACTTAGCGACTTTGTCACTAGATTTAGCGACTTTTCAGACCCCCCTAGCGACAAATCTAGCGACTTTTTTGTGTGTTATTGGAGATTTTTTTAGACTGTCATTTTTCCATACCGCACCGTCCCTACTCTTCTCAACGAGCTGCGTGTGATGCCGCCGGCCCCTCCCCCGCCTCACAGCACTGACAGGCGGCCCAGTCAGTCCTCGTACAGCAGCCTCTCCCACCTGCAGCCCGAGAGCAGATCACCCCTCTGCGTACCGACGACATATGATTTAGCACAGGCAGTGTGAAGGTATTTCCCTTGTACAGTCTAACCGATCTACTTCTACTTTATTTTAACAATTTATTTGGACCGTTTATTCTTTTCTTGTTCACAATCACAGATATTTTAGTGACAGTTTCTGAACTTGTCTGAGTTTAATACATATGAGAGATTGCTGCACATTCACTAACGTTACACATCTATAATGATATACTGTATTCAAACAGCAATAAATTTAGTTAAATAAACATGCTTATATAAAGTGTAGTGCAATTATAAATACCCCTTTATTAACCATAGGATGTTAAACAGAAACGGTAGAACGTGATGACGTCAATGATATGCAAATTAACGTATGACGTACCCCATCTCTTCCCCCCCCCCCCCCCCCCCCCAATCATCAGGGGGCCCCGTCAGCGATCCCTGCAGGGGGGCCTCCGCATTTTGCGCTACGCCACTGCTCGTATCCCTCCTAATGCTTATTGGGCTCATCTGTCTTCGAGCTGAGGGCTCTCTCCCGGGACAGCATGCCAAACTTGCTAAAATAGTCAAGCATTATCTAAGTGTGAACTCTTGAAATGGTTCATATTGCCCTACAAAGTCAAAGTGCAGCAACTGCAGAAACACTAAAGCTGAGAAAATGCCTTTAAAATGTTTTAGACCAGCCAGCCAAACATGTTACTTGGAATATTCGTGGTTTTGTTTCTCTTACAAGACCATATCGACTTTGTCACAATGCAGAACATATTTTAGGCCTTGACTTAGTTTTGACAAGCTGTGTAGTTACAGCCCTTTAAACAGCATTCTATTATACCTTAAATGTACATTTATGTACCCATTACCTTGCATCGTAACTGTCTGGTTGACCTTTTGTCCATAGGTTATCATTAAAACAAGTACCTTTATTTCTGAGAGATTATAATGTCTATCTTAAAGTGTCTCAAAGGAATTTAGGAGTCAAAATCTCTTATTCTGACACAGTGACTATTGTAAATTAGAAAAATAATATTGTGTCGTCTGAACCTGACATAAACCCATCCTTGTTAATGAAGTATCTCTAACTTATTTAAAGCTAAAATGTGTCACCATAATAATAAATCTGTCATCATCTACTTTTTACAATGCCGTATTATTTATTTTAATCAGTAAACTCTAACTTCTGAAGAATGCCCAAGCTTTCGTTTTTGTGTATGGTCATTTATACTTGCAAAAGACAGAAAAAAAATTAACGGTGTGATAGTAAACATTACTTTGAGACATTTAGTTGCTCTACTGGTACTCCATAGCTCTCATTCTCAGTTGTGGTCAATTGAGGACACAACAATCAATGGCGACAATAAAGCGACATGCATGAAACAATTTTAAACTATTGACACTTACAGTATGACTAGTTTCCACTGATCACTGCAGTTTAGTAGGGTACAGTGTGCAGCTTTTCTGTTTCCACTGTCTAAAAGTACCTCTTTTTGGAAAACCTTTTGTAAGGGTATCTTGAACAACATTACGGTAGCAAAAGGTGGAGCTAGACTCAATGCTGAATGCTATTGTATAACAGAAGCGTCACTTGTGCATGCAACAAGACAAGCAAAAGACAAGCCTGATCAGGGTGACCTGTACTGAACCGTCATTATGGTTCCTTTCCATTGAGCATTATGGTTCAGTAAAATACAGTAGATTACAGTGTGCATTTATTTCCAGTTTCTCTTTAAAAAGTACCAAAACAGCCACTTTTTTTGAGATCCTTTAGGAAGGTTACCTACAACAGTACAGTACCAAAAGGTTGATGGCTTGCAGCAATGAACCATGGTCGACCTGAGCTCAAACAAAACTTGTCTCTTCTTGTGACAAACAGCCACATGCCAATAATATGTGAATATCTTATTTAAGCCAAAATGGAGTCGATCTCAACTTTCAGGCATAAAAACTGCCTACCAAGTAAAGACCAACTTATATTTTTGCTTCTAGTCCTCGCTATAGGTATGCCTTCACACAGTTGTAAATCCTTTGCCATACCCAGACACAAACCTCTCAAAAAAGGTAACTACACATTTGCCACAATTCAAAGCGCAAGATGTGTGATTGTAGTGGTAACAACTATAGGTGGGTTGAGTGGTGCTAGTGGAACACGGCGGGTGGCTTGAGGTTTTAAGAAGTCTGAGTTTACATGATTGTCCAATCATTTTCGATTCATCATCCTTCCACCACTCCGACTCCGCACCTTTAACAGATCATTTCTCTTGCCCAGGGAGGAATGGGGGAACTTTTCTGGGAGTTTTTCTGGGAGTTTTCTGACTAGTGTTACCCAATTCTAGTCCTCGGGACTCCCCGCCCAGACCTGATTCAGATCATCAGTTCATTAACAGAGTTCCATGAACGGATTCTTGTGTGTAAAATAAAAGACATACAAAATGTGCCTGGCGGGGAATCTCGAGAACCGCAATTGACAACCGCTATTTTGGACAAAGTAGTTGATTGAGTCTTTTCGAACTCAGAGCCCAGACTCAGAGACTGCACACCAAAACAGATTTTTTTCCTTAAATCTGCAGGTTTGAACTTGTAAAAGAATGATTGCAGTGTAACACAGACAGAATGCAGAAGTATGCTTAGAATTGGCTACATCAGGGGTGCCCTAACTTCTAGAGGACTGGTGTCCTGCAAAGTTTAGTTCCCACCCCAAATAGACACACCTGGGCTAGCTAATCAAGCTCTGTTTAAGCTTACTAAAAACATTCGTGATGGTGTGTTGAGGCAAGTTGGAGCAAAAATCTGTAGGACACCAGGCCTCCAGGACCGAGTTTGGGCAACTATGGGCTACGTGCAAGGTATTTACCTTAGTACAGTGATCACTTGATGCAGAAGTGTAAATCAAGCTTATGGGTATGCTACGGCCCAAACTCAAAACTGGCTCGAATAACAAAAACATTCAAGGTTTGAGCCGAATATATGGA